AATCAAAATTTAATTACCATACAGTTCTCATTCTCGTTCGAAGATTATGAGGAAAATGAACTTGAATCATGTTCTTTCCTCTCGTCGTTACTTTTTCTTTCAATTTCTTATGTAACCTAAGATTTTGATGGGTAAACGAAATTTATGAGAGAAGGAGGAGAGTTCGACGATTTTGAGAGAGAAAACGAAAGAGAAATTGAAGAGGAAGATGAAAATAAGAGAGAGAATGGACGAAGATGATAAAGGTGAAATAAAATAAAGATGATTTTGAAGTCATATTCTTCGTTATCGTCATTTTTTCTTCTTCGAATCTCAAATCTAGTCGAAGATTTAAAGAGAAAACGAAATTTTTTAAAGAAAACTGAAGGGAAATAGAGATTTAACAATGAAAATATCTGATTTTGTTAGAGAGAGAATAAAAATGGTGAATGGTAGGAGAGAGAAAAGAGTCACGAGAGGAGATAATAAAGTTGTTATTTTTATTTTTTTATTTTAAATTTTTAAAATTAAAAAAAGAAGGGTTTTTAGTCTTTTTTATAAATATTTGAGGGTGTTTATGTTTTTGCTATGTTAAAGAGGGTTTTTTGTTTAATTTTTTGTTTTGAAGGTATCACCTGAAGTACGAGAAGCGGTGAGAGAGCTATTTCCCCAATCCAATCCTATCTCTTTCTCTTTCTAACCTTTATTTATATTTTTTTTTCCTGGTTGATCTTAATTATGATATATATATATATACATAATATATATTAATAAAATTATTATTCTCCATCCAGAAAGATTCCAAAATAAGATGATAATGATAAACTTTTTTCACCACTAGTAGAACCATTCTTATAATTTTAATTTTTTTATATAAAAAATTATCAGTAAAAATAAGTGTTGTTCTTTTTTTTATATATATGGTAACATAAGAAATTTAAAAATATATATATAATCTTTTTCTTTTACAAAATGTACTTATTTTAATAGACTCGCACGTACGTATATGATAAATTGTCAAATAGCCAATGTCTATGCCACGTGTCACAGATATATACCGGGAACAACATAAAATTTTATACTTATAAAAAAACATAAAATTTTATGCACTAGGTAATAGTCCGCCGACTAAATAAATATACATGTAGATTTTAAATAAATTTATTATTAATGTATTTAAATTATTTTTTTTATTTTTATTACTTTTATCATTTCAATTTAATTTGCTTGGTCCTTCACGACATACCATAAACTCTTTGTGATACAAAAATTGATTAGTTTTTCGGTGATAAATTTATCATTCTCCTAAACCATTCATCATAAAAATTTGATACATTTAATAAAGTGATATTTTCTAGGTCCAAATTTTTATACGATTGATCTTTCATTTAGAATATGCATTTTCAGATAAAAAACGATAAGTTTTTAAAAAATCTTAAAAACAAAAATTTAATGATATCTAAATATCTTTACCTGAACAAATTGATATTTCACATTAAAACCAAAACTTAGTAGAAAAGTTATTTTTTTTATCATTTATATTTAGAATGTGATATCCTCCTTTGTTACTTTCAAAAAATTAATATCTAAATATAAGATTGCATCAATCTCTATATTCTATATTGAGTCATTTTGTGTTTAGAAAAGTTTTAATCAAAACTATATTGAGATAATACTGCGAATAAACCATTAAGAAATATAAAAAAAATATAAAGTTAAATCTATTGCAATTTAAAGACCTTTTTTTATTATTTTGAACAAAAATCTTAAACATAATGTTAAATATATATATATATATATAACAAATATTATAGTGCATAAAATATTATTGATTTGCTTTGTTTTCGTTAAAATATTGAAACAAATTAGTATTATATATATACACACGATGCATATGTATATGATGTATTAATAAATAGATCTTCAATATATATATATATATATATATATATATATAAATAAGTATCATATAAGTAGAATTTTTTTCACAGGAAGGATGACGGGTGTTATATTTTTTTTAATTCTTCCTATAGTCAAGATTGAATAAATTATATTTAAAGCACTATAAGAAAACACGAAAAGGGTGACGCAAAAAGTGACGCAAATTTTGCGTCACTAAAAGGGTGACGCAACGGTGACGATTGTGTGACGCAAAGGGTGACGCAACAAATGCGTCACCTGAGCGTCACTAAATAGTGACGCTTTTGTGACGCAATTTACAGCGTCACCCAATGGTGACGCAATGATGACGCAAAATTGCGTCGCCAAATAACGCGCGGAAATATCTTCGCTCTTTCGTCACCCTTTCGTCACCATTTGGTGACGCAATTGCGTCATTATATTATACTGACGCAATTTCGTCACAAAAAATTTCGTGACGAAATTGCGTCATTAATAGTGACGCAATTGCGTCACTATTTTTTTAATTTAGTGACGCAATTGCGTCACTATATTTCCTTTAAACCACGCACCACATTCATACACTCTTGCACCCGAAAAAAAACTCAAAAAATGGCATCGAGTAATAACAATATTTATTACTCAAGAAAATGGATGTACGAAAGAGTAAATCCTTCTACGGGTAATGTATCTACGCATTACGAAGAAGGATTGACTAATTTTTTGGAGTTTGCAACAAATCAACATATTTTTCTTCAGAGAGGAAAGATATATTGTCCGTGCCGAAGATGTAAAAACGAGAGGGAAGAAGTTCCAGAAGTTGTGATGAGACATCTATGGAAAAAAGGTTTTGTCTCTAACTATTACGTCTGGGTTTATCATGGTGAGACGTTTCAAATTTCTGATGAGAATATATCTGTGAGAAATACTGATGTCTATGATCAGCCAAATTCATATATTGAGATGGTTCAAGATGCATTTCCATCTCAATATAATGATCAGGTTACAGAAGATCCGATGAATGAGGCATCGAAAAAGTTTTTCGATCTATTAGAGGCTGCAAACCAACCTATTTATGATGGTTGTAAAGAAGGGCTTTCTCAACTATCGGCTTCTGCTAGATTGATGGGGATGAAGACGAGTTATAATCTTACAGAGAACTGCATGAATGAAGTTTGTCAGATGCTGAATGATTATCTTCCCCAAGGTAATAATGCTCCAGATTCGTATTATGATATGTCTAAACTGATGGGATCGTTGGGAATGGAATCGATAAAAATCGATGTATGTCCTAACAACTGTATGATATTTTGGAAAGAATCTAACCAGTTGGACAACTGTCGATTTTGTGGAGCTGAAAGATACAAGGCGAAAAAATCTGGTCAACGCAACCGTGTTCCTTACAAAAGGATGTTTTATCTACCGATTAAAGATCGTCTGCGAAGATTGTATGAATCTCATCAAACAGCTTCACATATGCGGTGGCATGCTGAACATACATCAGATCCTGAGAACATGAGTCATCCATCTGACGGTGATGCATGGAAGAATTTTAACGAGGTATATCCGAACTTTGCATCAGAACATAGAAGTGTTTATCTATGTTTATGCACAGATGGGTTTGCACCGTATGGTCAATCGGGCAAACAATATTCGCTGTGGCCTATTGTTATGTCTCCTTATAACTTACCTCCAGATATGTGTCTGAAAAAAAAGTTCTTGTTCTTGACGGTTTTGATTCCGGGCCCGGTCTGGAGCGTTATTACCTTGGGGAAGATAATCATTCAGCATCTGACAAACTTCATTCATGCAGTTCTCTGTAAGATTATAACTCGTCTTCATCCCCATCAATCTAGCAGAAGCCGATAGTTGAGAAAGCCCTTCTTTACAACCATCATAAATAGGTTGGTTTGC